AAGAGTGGGAAGGACCCGCCGGGCTCAAGTTTGGCTTTGACCAAATGTGATCAGGGCCACATTGCAGCTCCTTGACTGCACCCTCTTGATGAAAACCTAGCAAACGTGCATGGACGTGGGGTCCATGATTCCTTGACCGTGAGTTTCTGCAGACACAGCTGTGCGCCATGCTTGGTGCCCTCCATGCCTAAGGTTTTTACTTCCAGCTTCCTATTAATTTTCCAGGGGGTCAGGTCCAGGGCACATCAGGCTGGTGTCCCCTCCCCGGGGCTGGCCCTGCCTCATAGTGTCCTCCAGTGTCCTGAGTCCTTCTGCCCGGGCCAGGGCTACCCGGCTGGTCCTTCCCCAGAACAGCAATCCCAGAAAGAAGTAGCAGGGGAGGGAAACCTCCATCATCACACGAGAGGGGTCTCCAGTCAGAGGGATGTCAGTCCCTTCCCTGGGGAGGAAGACTCTGTCCCATTTTCCCCCCATCTGGGCCTGTAGGATTCAGGCCTCACCAGGCTGGGCAGCCAGGGCTTGTTTCATCAACTGTGCTGGATCAAAGTGAGCCCAGGATGGGGTAGAATCACAAGGACTGTGGCTCTTTGTGACTTGAAGATCTCATGGGGTAGAGGCTCTTGTCCTATACCCTGATGCTTGTAAGGAAGGTGGGGACCCGGGAAGGCTGTATCATGGCCCTGTGCCCTCGACATGGGCTGGGAGAAATGAGGTCCTGATTCTCCTTGGCCCCTCTCTCTGCACAGCCGGCAAGTATACCAGGATTGTGGAGCGGAGAATAGTGCCCATCCTGAACAACACCGAGTGCAGGAAGCACTGGGGCAGGATAAACATGGATGCCAAGATCTGTGCAGCGGAGTCCTATGCCTCCTGCTGGGATGTACGTGTTTCTCTAACCCAGCCCCTCACTGCTGTCCCCCGTCAGGCAGCAGGAACACTCCTTGGCCCAGATCCCACTGCCCCGTAGCTTGATTCCTGCCCTGGCAGCCAGGACCAGCACTCACAGAGGCCAGCAGAGGACTTGCTCCTCCAGGCATGGGGTGCTCACGGCCTCATCCTGGGCTACAGCTCTCCAGCTGATCTCTAACCCCCAGTCCTGCTCCCCTGTCCACACCCCAGCAGGAGGCAGAGCTGGGCTGCCATTTGAAGTGGCTCTTCTGAGCTGAATACGGAGCCCATTGGCCCCAGGACTGGGTCAGGTCAGGTCACCCAGATTTCTCTCACATGTGTCCATACTGCAACGTGTCTTTTTCCCTCCCACAGTTTGACTCTGGAGCCTCCTTGGTCTGTAGGAAGGAAAAAGTCTACACTGTGGTGGGAGTATTGTCGTTTTTGAGTGAAACCTGCCCCACCCTTAAACCTGTGGTGTTCACCCGGGTCACTACAATGATGTGGTGGATTCATGAGACCATGGCCGACAACTGAGCCCTGTACTCCCATTCCTGTGCTCTTTATCCCCAATAAAAGCCTCTGCCCAGAAGCCCTGACTGCTTGTGTGTCTGTGACCTGGGGGAGGTGGCTGCAGTGTCCCTGTCACCCACCAGGGCACTGTGTGACCTTCACTTTTCCAGGCTGCAGAGCCCCAGCAGCCCCTGTTTCTCAGGGAGCTGAGGCCTTTGTTTCTGGTCTTCCCTGCTCAGGAGGCCCCTGGGGTGGAGTCCAGGACCACCTGCTGCAGCCTCATTTCTCAGCCTGGCTTCTACTCCTTTGGCAGCCTTGGTCCAAGGAGCTTTGTGGAAGGCAGGAGTGCTCCAGCCAGGCCATGCAGTCCTCTTCCCAGCAGGGTGGGCCCTGGGAACAAGAGGAACAAGAGGCAGGCTTTTTCCTCCCCAGAAGCTCCAGGCAACTTTGTCTGTCTTGAGCTCCCTGCACCCCCTCCCCAGACCATCCATGCAGTCCCCACCCTTCCTGCTTCTACTCAGGCCCCGAAGACACTTACTATGAACTGAGGAGCTGGGAAAACTTCCTTCCAGCCCATTGGCTAAACAACTGTCCTTCCAGGTCTTATTTTTCTTGTTTTCCTGTGATTCACCGGCTGGGTCTGATACTTGGTCAGGCTCATGAGTCCCACAGCCAGGCTGCAGGGGCTGGGCTCCTGCATGGAGAGGTCAGGGCTGCTTTCTTTTCCTGTGACATCACAGACCTTGATGCCTGAGGGCTGGACCATCATTCTTGTGGGGCTTGTAAATGTGATGACTCACTCAATGTCTCCTTCCCTTTTATTACCGGTAACTTATGAGAATTATTTTTCTTTTGTTGCTTGTGCTTTTGTGTCATAGTGAACTCTGATAGGAATCTCTTTCAGTGTGGAGATCACATGGGTTGTGCTACATCGTCACCATGTTATGTCCCTGCCCATGAGGGTGGAAGTTTTCCATCCTTTAGTCCTTTACTCTTCTATTTTTCTTTTTTTATAAACAAATCATTTGCATTGCTGTAGCATTAGTCAGCTACACTATAGATTTTAGAGCTATAGGGTCACACCTCTTGAGATGCACGTTACCACATCAGTGCGCCCTCAGAGCCCTGGTGTCCGTCCATCACCGTCCATTTGTGCCTGACCCCGTGCCCCTCACTCTCCCTCTGGGCCATGGAGCCTCACTTCTGCAGTCAGCTCTCAGGGGTTTGCCGTGGTTGGTCTGAAATCTGTGTCCAGTGGCCTCTGTACAATGTGTGGTTTCTGGGGGAGCCCCAAGGGCCCAGGGTCCCCATGGTCTGGGCTGTGTGTGCAGCATCCGCAGTCCTGGGAGCCGAGTCCTGCAGCACAGGGGAGAGGCCAGTGGCGCCAGGGCCTGAGCTCAGGAGTGTGAGGGGGAGGCAGACCCACAGCTCCTCAATGACCTCCCCCGGCACCTCTTCAGGCCAAGGGACCCCACCCAGAGCCCCAGAGGAGGCTGGGATGTGTCCGGGTGGGTCTCCCTGTCCTCCTGGGCTCCTGCTCGCACAGAGTTTCTGCACCTGTCCTGTTGCCCAGGTCACTTGTCTGTCCTGGGTGGGCCTGGCAGCCTCTGCCGCCCCAAAGCACAGAAACTGGGGAGACAACAGCATAATTCCACAGCCTGTTAGGAACCCATTAAGGAGCGATAAGATGAGGCTCAAGACAGTTTTCAAAACCCTTCCAGGTGATTCCTGTGGGTGATCACGTTGAAAGTCCCTGAGCTGGAGTCAGAGCTCCTTGCCTGCTTGAGGGTGAGGGGGCCAGGCCTCCCCCTGGGTGGAGGGACCCCTGAGGGCCACTAAAGGGAGATGTGTCCTCTCAACTGTGGCCACCAGGGGACAGTGTTATCCCTGGACAGCCACCCAAGGCCAAGGAGCCAGTCCAGGAGTCTCTGAGCCAGCTCTGGAAACAGCTGTCAGGTAGGACAAGGGGCCCTGCCATGGAACATTCTGGAAGGCAGGGCAGTGTTAGCTTAGGATTTAGGTTATTACTGGGAATTTACCTATTTGTTGCCAATCCCAAATCCCACATCCCTATGCACAAAAGTTTGAGGTGTTTTTGTGTCTGACCCTGGAGTGTCGCCCCTGGCCAGGGCTAGTTTTTGATTACTTTTAGGGCCTCTTGGTACCAGGCACCCTTCATGTCCTGATCCGGGGGGCCTTGGGGTTTCTGGACCTTTCATGTTATCCCAACAGTTAACTTCAAATGAAGTCTCCATGGTAGTTAGATTAAGAGCTTGTAGCTAATACAAGCGTAATTGCTAACCAAATCCTGTCACCTGTTTCTGGTAGTTCAAATCAGTGGTGTTTGTTATTACTAGGACCGTTACTGAATGGAAAAGTAATACAACTGATTCGTGACGAAGCAAGGCATATAAAGGTGGTTCTCCAATCCTCACAGAGACTGGACCACAGACCACATAACAAAGTCTGCGGATCACCACTTTACAGGTTAGTCAGCAAGTTGAGAGTATGCTAGTGAGTAATAAATGATAAGTAGTAATTGAAATATTTTCTCCTTGGTAGAGCAGGGAAAATGGAATTTAAACAATTGACCACCACTTTGCACACATGAAATTGACAAAAAAAAAAAAAAAGCTGGTCCTCATATATGAAGGGAAATGTAACTTCTAGTTGGCATATGTAAAAATGGTTAAATAAATAATTAAAAAAACACTCTGGAGACCATGGAAAGGTGCATGACCCTGCAGAATATTCCAATAGAAAATAAAGAATTGAAAAAAGACATAATCTTACTGGGATGCAGTCTTTGTGGCGGCAGCAATTCATCGTGAAGACACCAGCAGACACGCAGGGGGAGTCTGGACAGGCTGATCCTGTGGCCCCACCTAGGGCAGGAGCCTCTGGGCTCACCCTCCTCCTGGCCTTCCTGTGCTCGCCTCCGTGCTCCTGACATCAGCCCTGAGCTTTCTGGGTCCTCAGTGGCCATTTATGGTGAGTTTTCAGCCTCATTTGAAAATAAGAGTTTTTATAACTACAGGTCATAAATGGTGAAGTCTCAAGGAGAGGGCATTGGACTAAGCCAGTGAGATACTGTCTTGCCCTCGTGTGCTCCAGGGCTGCGAGTCTGGGCTGGTTCCAAGGCCCATTCCTAAGGGAGCTGAGCCTCGTGTGTTTCACTTGCCTCAGGGGGTTGCCCTGAGCAGGGACAGAAGCACAATGAAGTCCTAGGCGCTGGGTGTGCATGATGTTGAGTCCTGGGTGCTGAGCTCTGGGTGCCCCTGAACACCTGAGTGAGGCTCCCTGTAGATGAGTCTTTGATGTGCACCTGCTGCCCCCAAGATGGGCCCAGGGCCTCCGGGGCCCACAGCTGGGTGCGTTCCCCTGGGGGTTGCCGAGGCTGATGGGTGACAGTGAGCCAGACAGTTGCCCTTTCCCCTGGTGCTGGGTGACCTGGGCTGAGCCAGTCCAGGACAGGTTTGACCATGGGGAGGGTGGACCTTATGTCAGGCAAGGCCCAGAGGGCCTGGGTGGGACTAACTCTTCCAAGGGATGTAAAAGGGGCCAGAGTAGGCAGCCCCACCCTCTCTGACTGCAGCACCATGGGATTGTTCTGGCTTCTCCTCTGCTTCACCCTCATCGGGGCCTCCCCTGGTAAGTATTATGGTCTGATGGAACTGCCTGGACTGGGAGGAGTCTGGGAAAGAGGACTCTGAGCCCCCAGTGGCCCCACATCCCTCTCTCTCTGGAGCACTGAGGAGTTCTGTTGGGGTGAGCCCTGTGGTTCAGACAAGAGGTACTTTGAGCCCCTCTCCAGGCCCCTTGGCCTCAGGGCAGACAGTGACCCTGACTTTGCCAGAAGAGAACGGCCCTTCTGGGCTTTCTGAGACCTCACAGCAGTGCCATGGGTGTAACAGGACCTCAGAGGATGGAGCCCAGGAAGTGGCTCAGGTTTGGTCCAGAGGGTCAGTAAGGGGGTGGCCACTAGACATGCTAAGGCCTCCTCTCTGGACTTTATTTAGTGCTGGGCTGCTGGGCCCTCAGAAAATGGTTGTTTACAAAACAAACGAGCAGAATTAGCACCATGTCCTGTACTGTGCTCGGGAGTTTGAAATGTTACCTTTGCCATTTTTGCTTTAGGGATTCTCTGACACCCACACTGGGCTCAGCAGCTCCCTATTCCCTTCCCTTGCCTCAGAATAGGGCTCAGAGCCTCTGCCTGTCGCTTCTGTGCAGCTTCACACACTCACTCCGTGTTTATAACCAGAACCAGGGCTCAGTGGGGGACGCTCCTCCCTGTATTTCCTGCCCGTCCCTGTCACACTTGCTGTCCCCACGTCTGTGAGATTTCAGGCTCCACCAGCACAGGGGACCCGGCCCCCCACTCCATTACTATGAAGCCTCTGCAGGGTGAGGCCCTCACAGCTCCTGCTGGTGGTTTTCTGTTCTGATAAGAAAAGATGAGGAGACGACATGTTTGGAGACACCAGCCTGAGGGAGTGGCCGGGCCATGTCCCTGTCCCCAGGGGCAGGGGCAGGTGCTGCCTGGAGCAAGGCCTGGGGGACCCTGGGGTCTACTGGTTTGTGGGAGGGACTTGCCCTGCCCCCCTTTCTTCCGTGGCCAAGTTCTCACACCCCTGGGAACTTCTGACGATCCTGTGTCCTGATCAGGCAAATGTGTCTGCACATGTCAAGGACCCTGTATGGCCGTCATTTCTGGACAAACTCATACTCTTTTTTCTGTTTCCTCGACATAGCTTTCATGGTTGGGAGTGAAATCCTTCTTTTTAAATAATTAATGATGTCAGACATGAAGGGTTTAGAATGTCTGGTAGCGTCTAGCCCTGGAAATGAGTTCATGTGACTTCCCTAAGCAAGTGTCCGAGGGCCCATGACTGGAGTTCTCTGTCTTCATTTCTCCACCTCTGGCCCACGCCGTCTCCTGGGGAGCATTGACTGAGGGCAGCGTATCTGGGGAAAGTGAGCCTGGGAGAGTCAGAGGGGACTGAGGTCTCAGCAGGGAGGTGGGGAACAGGGACAGTTGGTTTCTGCTCCTCTGGGCAGGGAGACCCGGATGGAGCCGCCTGTCCCTCTGCATCCCTGGGAGCGTGACTGGGCCAGCAGGCAGGGGTGTGTGTCTTCCACTCTGGATACAGGGGTGCCAGGATGGGGAAGTGTGGGCGTGGTGCTGTGCTGGCTGAGGGTCAACCAGGTTTCTGCAGACTGACTAGACCTCCACCCTCTCACCCTCCCGCTGTCACCCCCAGGTTCTGCGGCCTCTGCCAGTGAACCGGAGCTGAGCATTGTACCCAGGATCATCAATGGCACAGACACCACCCCTGGATCCTCACCCTGGCATGTGATTCTGATGGTGAGGGGAGTCTGCTCCTGAGTATGGTCATCCCTGCCCCCGAGATGGTGGGGCCACAACTCCACGGGTGTGACTGCTTCCTGTCACTTTTACCGACCTTCTCTCTACAGACTGCTACTAGTGTCCAGTTATGTTGGGGCTCCCTGGTCAACGAGAACTGGGTGATCACTGCTGCCCACTGCAACATTACGTGAGGCTCAGGAAGGGTCCTAGGGACAAAGGAGGGGCGTGGTCTCCTCCTTAATCCTTACCCACCTGCTCCCTCTAGGACATCTGACTTGGTTGTGGTTGGGATGTATGACAGACCCTCAGGTAGGAATGACATCCAGATCCTGAAGATTGCTCAGGTAAGCCAGACCCTGCTGGACCTGCCCTGGAGGCTCTGATCAGGCTTTGGGGGGCAGGATGAGAGGAAGAGACCTTTAGGTGCAGAGACAGAAGCTCGCAAATTGGTCTTACTTCTTTATTTGTTCTCCTAATATTTATCTCCTGATGGGGTCACCGCGATTCATTTCTCTCATGTTCACCTGCTGGTTCTCACTCAGGTTTTTATATACCCCCATGTGTACTGGAGTGTTGTTGACAACGACGTCGCTCTGCTGAAGCTGGAAAGCCCTGCCCGCTTCTCCACCACAGTGTCCCCTGCATCCCTGCCCACAGCTTCCGACCGCTTCCGCCCTGGGCGCCAATGCTTCACCCTGGGCTTTGCGCCAAGGCACCCTAATGGTGAGTGACTGGACTTGGCACTCAGGACATGGTCTAGTGTCCGGCAACTGAAGAGTGGGAAGGACCCGTAGGGCTCAGCTTTGGCTTTGTCCAAATGTGAGCAGGGCCATGAATGTGGCAGCTCCTTGACTGCACCCTCTTAGTGAAAACCTAGCAAATGTGCCTGGACACGGGGTCCATGTCTCCTCATACTATGAGTTTCTGCAGACACAGCTGTGCACCATGCCTGGTGCCCTCCATGCCTAAGGTTTTTACTTCCAGCTTCCTATTAAATTTTCCTGAGTGTCAGGTCCAGGGCACATTGGGCCTCTGAGTCTCCAGCCCAGGTATCCTCCCTGGGGCTGGCCCTGCCTGATGGTCTCCTCCAGAGTCCTGAGTCCTTCTGCCCAGGCCAGGGCTACCCAGCTGGTCCTTCCCCAGAACAGCAATCCCAGAAAGAATATGCAGGGGAGGGAACCCTCCATCACCACACGAGAGGGGTCTCCAGTCAGAGGGATGTCAGCCCCTTCCCTGGGGAGGAAGACTCTGCGCCTGTGTCCCCCACCTGGGCTCATAGGACTCAGGCCACACCAGGCTGGGCAGGGAGGGCTTGTTTCATCAACTGTGCTGGATCAAAGTGAGCCCAGGATGGGGTAGAATCACAAGGACTGTGGCCCTTTTTGATTTGAAGATCTCATGGGGTAGAGTCTCTTGTCCTATATCCTGATGCTTGTAAGGAAGGTGGGGACTCAGGAAGGCTGTATCGTGGCCTGTGCCCTCAGCATGGGCTGGGAGTAATAAGGAACTGATTCTCCTTGTCCCCTCTCTCTGTGCAGCCAGCAATCAAGCCAAGATTCTGCAACAAGCTATGATGTCCCTCCTCACCAACACCGAGTGCAGGAAGCACTGGGGCAGAATAATCACTGATGCCAAGATCTGTGCCAGGGGCAAAAGTGTTTCCTGCTTGGAAGTACGTGTGGCTCTAACCATCCCCTTCACCTCTGTCCCTAGTCAGGCTGCAGGAACTATTCTTGGCCCAGATCCCACTGCCCCGTGGCTTGATTCCTGCCCTGGCAGCCAGGACCAGCACTCACAGAGGCCAGCAGAGGACTTGCTCCTCCAGGCATGGGGTGCTCCGTGTGGAGTTACTCTCACGGCCTCATCCTGGGCTACAGCTCTCCAGCTGATCTCTAACCCCCAGTCCAGCTCCCCTGTCCACACCCCAGCAGGAGGCAGAGCTGGGCTGCCATTTGAAGTGGCCCTTCTGAGCTGAATACGGAGCCCATTGGCCCCAGGGCTGGGTCAGATCAGGTAACCAGATTTGTTGCACACGTGTCCGTACTGCAATGTGTCTCTTTCCCTCCACAGGTCGACTCTGGAGGACCCTTGGTCTGCAGGAAGAAGAAAGTCTGGTCCCTGGTCGGTGTCATTTCATTTATGAGTGAAACCTGCCCCACCCAGAGACCTCTGGTGTTCACCAGGGTCACTAAAATCGTACCGTGGATTCAGGAGACCATGGCCAACAACTGAGCCCTGATCCTCGCATTCCTTTGTTCTTTACCCCCAATAAAAGCCTCTGCCCAGAAGCCCTGACTGCTTGTGTGTCTGTGACCTGGGGGAGGTGGCTGCAGTGTCCCTGGCACCCACCAGGGGGCGGCGTGACCCTCCCTTTCCAGGCTGCAGAGCCCCAGCAGCCCCTATTTCTCAGGGAGCTGAGGCCTTTGGGTCTGGGCCTCCCTGCCTAGGAGGCAACTGAAGTAGAGTCCAGGACCACCTGCTGCAGCCTCATTTCTCAGCCTGGTTTCTTCTTGTTTGGGCAAGTGGGCTTGGCCCAAGGAGCTTTGTGGAAGGCAGGAGTGCTCCAGGCAGGCCATGCAGTCCACCTCCCAGCAGGGTGGGCCCTGGGACCATAGGGGTACCCAGGCAGGCTTGTCCCTCCCCACATGCTCCAGCACCTTTATCTGCCTGGAGCCCCCTGCACACCCCACCCCAGACCACACATGCAGTCCCCACCCTTCCTGCTTCTGCCCAGGTCCTGCTCACTCACTGAACTGAGTAGCTGGGAAGCTTCCTCCCAGGGTAACTGGGGGACACCCTGTTCTCTCAGGTCCCTCTGTGCCCATTATTTTTCTTCGAGTTGGCAGCTATATCTGAGAGTTGATCAGGCTCATATCAGTCCCACAGCCAGGCTGCAGGGGGCTGGGATCCTGCATGGAGGGATCAGGGCTGCTTCCTGTGACATCACACTCTGATGCCTGCGGGTTGGAACATCATCCTTGTCGGGCTTGTAAATGTGATAACTCACTCAATGTCTCCTTCCCTTTTATTACCAGTAACTTGTAACGATTATTTTTCTTTTGTTGCTTGTGCTTTTGTGTCATAGTGAACTCTGACCAGAATGGCTTTCAGTGTGGAGATCACATGGGTTGTGCTGACATCGTCACTGTTTTACGTCCCTGCCCGTTAGTCCTTCTTTATTCTTGTGTTTTTTTTTTTTTAATAAATCATTTGCATTGATGTAACATTAGTCAGCCACACTATAAGTTTTAGGGGTATAGGGTCACCCCTGCTGAGATGAATGTTACCACTTCAGTGCACCCTCAGAGCCCCAGTGTCCGTCCATCACTGTCCATTTGTGCCTGACCCCGAGTGAAGACCTTCACTCTTCCTCTGGGCCCCGGAGCCTCACTTCTGCAGTCAGCTTTCAGGGGTTTGCCGTGGTTGGTCTGAAATCTCTGTGTCCAGTGGCCTCTGTACAATGTGTGGTTTCTGGGGGAGCCCCGAGGGCCCAGGGTCCCCATGGTTTGGGCTGTGTGTGCAGCATCCGCAGTCCTGGGAGCCGAGTCCTGCAGCACATGGGAGAGGGCAGTGGCGCCTGGGCCTGAACTCAAGAGTGTGAGGGGGAGCCAGACCCGCAGCCCCTCACTGCCCTCCCCCTGCACCTGCTCAGGCCAGAGGACCCAACTCAGAGGCCCATGGAAAGTTCAGAGGGGGTCGGGTGGGTCTCCCTGTCCTCCTGGGCTCCGGCCCGCACAGTTTCTGCACCTGTCCTGATCCTCAGGTCACTTGTTTGCTTCTGCTGCCCCAAAGCATAGGAGCCGGGGAGACCCAGGCCAAATTCCACAGCCCATTAGGACCAATTAAGGAGTGATCAAGATGAGGCTCAGAGCAGTTTTCACAAACCTTCCAGGTGATTCCTGAGTGATGAAGTTGAAAGTCCCTGAGCTAGAGTCAGAACTCCTTGCCTGCTTGAGGGTGAGGAGGCCAGGCCTCCCCCTGGGTGGAGGGACCCCTGAGGGCCACTAAAGGGAGATGTGTCCTCTCAACCGTGGCCACCAGGGGGCAGTGTTATCCCTGGACAGCTACCCAAGGCCAAGGAGCCAGCCCAGGAGCCTCTGAGCCAGCTCTGGAAAGAGCTGTCAGGTAGGACAAGGGGCCCTGCCATGGAATATTCTGGAAGGTTGGGCAGTGTTTTGAATTTAGGTCATCATGGGGCATTTTCCTATTTGCTGCCAGTCCCATCTTGCTGCCCCTGTGCACACAAATTTGAAGTGTGTTTTATGTAAATATTTCACAGTTTTACTTCATGACTTTTTGCTCCTTTCTTTAATAGCTCATCTTACCCTGTTGGTCTCTCTTGTCTTCTTGCTTTCTAAGGTATTTTCTTGTTTTGTGTGTGTTTTTTGGGGTTCTCATCTAGGCTTCCCAGGAGCCCCCCAGACACAGCCTTTGGGTAAGTGAATGGTTGGGCTTTTCTGCCGTTGGCCTCTGTGGCTGCCCCCTGCAGCCCTGAACGCGGAGGCGCTTGGGCGCGGGGCCACGGGCGCGCGTGCCCGATGGTGGACACCTGGAGTGGGGTGTGGGCACACGCAAGTGGGTGCACCTGAGCCAGAGGTCAGGGCTATAAGGGCACATTCCCCAGCTGTGATGGGCTCCAATAGATGAGCGAAGGCCATAGTGAAAGAGGCTACAGGAGAGGCCAGAGAAAGCCCAGAGGAAAGAGCCTGTAAAGATTCTCAGGGGGCCCAAGGCTGTCTCCCTGCTGGCTTATTTCCCCTGCACACTGTTAATAAGCCTGTGGGGTGATGCCAAGGGCCCAAGGTTCTCTGTGAAGCTGCCTGAGCGTTGGTGACCCTACCTGGCCTGGCATGGTTGTAGAACACACCCCCTTTCAGATCCTGTGCTGTTGCCGGACTAGCCCTAGAGGTTCTTGTGAGGATTGTAAGTCGCCCCCAGCACAAGGAGACTTGTTGACGGGAAACTAGACATGCTGCAAGCCAGGCCTGGGGCCACAATGTGAGGGGTACATGTTGGGGGAGCCAGCTAGGTACCCCAACAGTTTTGCTTTTTGTTTTGGGGATGTGATGGCCCAATTTGTGGGACTCACTTTTTCAGGAATTTAAAACATAAGGGTGATCCAGCTGTAGGGAGGCAACATAATTGCAAGACTGTGCTTCTCCTATGTCTCTGAGATCTGGACTATGAAGGTAATGGGTGATAGGGGCAGGTCCCATCTAGTCCCGCGACAGGAGTGTGATTATTCCCCACAGCTGTGTGTGCAGCTCATGCCTGGACAATCAGCTGAAATCAGGTCCTCGGCTGATAATTAAAATGCCCAATGTCAGGGGCTTCCCCTGCCATCCTCTGAGACACAGGGCCCCATCATGGTGGGGCCTCCACAGCCTGGGGAGCAGGTCGGGTCCATCAGGGGCAGGTCCTGACCAGCAGCACCCATCTAGCAGGGTGAGAGCAGCCCATCCCGTAATAATACACAGCAGCAGCCTCATCCAGGCCATAACCGTTGCCCCAGTGGTTACGGCTGGTCTGGGAAACAGTGAGTGATCTGAGGACCATTGAGTGTGTTCAATGATGTGGGCCTTAAGTTGGAAATTTTCCCCAAATGTTGAGAACTTTGGTCTACGTTGTGTGGGTACCTGTCCTGGGTGTGCTCTCTTGAGAAGGAGGCCTGGGCATCCAGCAGTGAACTCCTGGGGGGACTGTGAGGTGGAGGTCATCTGACATGGTCTCCAGTGATGAGGTGCCTCTCTTGGGGTGACAGCCTCTAGCAAGGAGGACTCTAAGGAGCGGGTTTTTATTTCATATTTCCTTAGAATTCTTACCCTTTCACACCTTGTTTTTCCAGAAGAGATGGGAGACTGCTCAGGAAGGATGAAAGGAGCAGCTCTGCCCTGAGTGACCCTCATTCCTCTGTCATCAAGAATCAACATCCAAGAGACTCGTGTCAGCTTCTCGAGGTGGGGAGGGTGGGGTACGAGGGGAAAGGGGCATCCCCCATTCAGTCACTCTTGAGTGTCACTGGTATGATCATTTTCCTAAATGACCCCATTGACAGCATTTAACCCTTTTTAATTCATACTTTTGTAAAATTTTAAGTTACCAACCGGCTGAGAGACTAATTGCCCGGGACTCCTGTCTCAGCCTCCACGTGGTTGGCGACATCAGTTCTTGTAGGTACCAGCTGGGTGCTCCAGCACAGCCTCTGCCCAGTGCTTGGGGCTCCAGACCACCCCCACCCGCGTCCACGAGATAGGGTCGTGACCAGGGCCGTGGCCCAAGGGGGGGGTTCCTGCTCAGGGTTGACCCCCCATTTTATTGAGACAGGGCAAACACCCATCATTCAGTCACCCCTGCTGCAATCGTCAGGAGATGAGAGGGACAAATCCAAGCCCTGGGCACAGTCATGATCTGGGGCGGTTTGAAATCGTGTTACAGTGGCTGGCGATAGCTTGATAGCGCTGTCTTTAACCCCTGCACCACCAGGGGGCACTATAATTGTTTTTTTTATTTATATCTTTTACGTCTTGTGTATTCCCGTAAAATCCCCACCACCAGCATAGCTGTGAATCGTCACCACAGTACCTTGTGCTCTTCTCTGTCCTGTTTTCATCCCTTTCCCTCCCCCTCCACCACAGAATGTCTCTAATTTATGGTTGTCTGCTAGTTTGGTTGTTTTATTTTTATTTCCCCCCCCCCCGATCCCTTATTTGGTTCCCCTGTATTCTTTCAGTAAGTGAAACTATCGGATATTTTTATTTTTCCTTCTGGCTCTTTCACTGAGCGTGATCCCTTCAAGCATGTTGCTGCAAATGCCATGAGTTTATCTTTTTTGATTGCTGAATAGTATTCCATGGTGTATATGTACTACATCTTCTTGATCCAGTCATCTAGTTTTGGGCATTTGGGTTGTTTCCATAGCTTAGCTATAGTTTGAAACCAGGGCGTGTGATACCTTCATTCTCCTTCTTTTTAGTCAGGAGAGCTTTGCGATTTTTCTTTGTGTGTGTGTGTGTGTGTGTGTGTGTGTGTGTGTGGTTCCATATGAATTTCATCAATATTTGTTCCATTTCTTTAAAGAATGTCATTGAAATTTTCATTGGAATAACATTGAATCTGTAAGTTGCTTTCTTAGGATGGCCATTTTGATAATGTTCATATTATTCTATGTTCTATGTTCATATTATCAGGTTCTGGAGGTTGACATTCTTTCTGTGGTGTATTGTTCCCAGAAATTCCATTTTTTTGTTTGTTTTTTTGGGGCCATTTTGATCATTTGTATTTTTCATTCTTCCTATTGTTTGCCTTTGGTTTTGCTGTGTTCATAGCGCCCCATTACTGCTGGTGCTGGTGGACATGACTTCTGATTCCTCTTGTTGAGGAATATGTCTGGTGTTGAGACATATGCCTGGTGTCTGAGCCACTGTGGCTGGTGAGTAGAGGTGTAGGTGGGGGCTTGTATATTTTCCCCCAATACTGTCTTCAGTTGTACCCCTGATCTAGACAGGTGGTACTTCCTGATGCTCTTGTCAGGGCGTTGGGGGCTATTGGACTTGGGAGCTTGGGGGTGCCTGCAGTTCCCACTTGGGTGTGCATCCAGGCAGTCTGCTATTGTGGTAGATGTTGTTTTGAGCTGTGATTTGCTCCAGGAGCCCCTGCTTTCTTGGGCACGGTGTGAGGTAGTATGTAGGATGAGCCCTAACGCCTCAGCCTGTGGTAGTCAAGAGCCTCGTGTGGAGCGCTGCACTTCCAGGCACACGCTGAGGCCAAGTCCACTGGAAGGTGCCTGCAGGATGGGAGGGAAGCACTTCTCTGTTGAGCTGCTAGGTGCCTCTAGGCGTATCTTGGAAAAAACGCCGGCATCAAGAGAGAATTAGGGGTGAAAGAAGAGAAAAGAAGAAAGAAGAGGTCGCAACAGAGAAAAGGCCCAACAGACAGCCCAATGACCAATAAACAAACAAAGACATGCGGGGGGTGAATCGTTCCTCAGACCTCTGATGGGTCCCAGTGAGCCAGTTGTTGCTGTTTTAGTCTGTTCTGCTGGGGAGGCTGTGGGGCCGGGTAGGACAGACTTCCCAGGGTGTGCTCTCTCCCTTGCGAGCCGAGGGAGGACAGAGAACGCACAGTGAGAGGTGGGGTGTAAACTGTGGCGTGTGCAAAATCTCTGCAGTCTCCACTGCAGATGTGGGTGTGGGAGGATCGATCTTCTTCTGGTTCCCTGAGGTTTGGGCAAGTGAGGGGACTCCTGAGGCCTCCTTCCACTTGAGGCCTTGGGACATCTAGAGGCGCCCAATGTAGGGACCAGCCCTATGCAGCTCCCCTGGCTCCCCTCCCACTGGTAGGTGCTGCCAGTTAAATCCTATATCCTGCCTGGAATAACAGCGACACTCTCCCGGTGTCTGGATTTGGTGGTTGGTGATTTTGTTCTGGTCACTAGGTGGGGCCAGAGATGTCTCCTAGTTAACTTTCAGAACTGCTTTTTACCCCTGTAGGTGTCTAGGAAAAGAGTGGGGGAGGGGAGCGCCACAAAAAAAGGGACTTGCCCCCAGCACTGTACCTGCCCTGATGCCCCGTCTGCTCACCCACCCCCTTCCAGAGTTCTCAGATGTCTCAAGGTTCTCCTGTGGCCTCCAAATTTTTCTCCTGTTTTCCTGGGTGAAGTGGGCCAGCTCTGTGAGTGGGGGAGTGGGGAGGATTCCTGATGGATGCTTCTCTCTCCTTCCTGTCACTCTGCTGTCCCTCGGCTTCTGTTGGGTCACCAACTCGGTCCAACACATCTGGGCACCAACTCGGTCCAACACATCTGGGTCCCACCAGGAACTCGCTGTTTCTCCCTATCAGTTGTCTTTATAACAGGCCCTTCACCACCACGCTGGTGATGTCATCTCTGATTCGAATGTTTAAATGAAACTTTGTTTATTCCTTCAGGTAAGTAGAGCTCCTTAAATTTGCCCTTTAAAGCAAACATTTGATTCTGAAGAAAGTGTGAATAGGTCAAGATGGATGTTTTCGTAACTTCTTCTTCTGTGAAGACCTAGAGGGGATGTGCCATGTGTGGCTGTGTGGGGTTCCTGGAGCCCCTCCTGACTGTGAGGACTCAGTGTAGACACCGAGCTGATCTTCACAGGACTCAGGGGTGGCCTGTGTGAGGGAGAGTTTCCTCGCCCATGACCTTCTTCTCCAACATACTTTTAACACACCAAGGAGCAGTTTCCTACGTGGACAGAAACAAAGATTCCCGCAGGCTGGACAAGTGTCCTCTACTCCTGCTGAGGTATTTTTGGAGCAGGAATAAAACCATTGAAGTAACAAAGAAGAGTCAGCGCTTCCCTGAGGACGGGGGAGACTCAGGGGAGAGGACTCCAGACTCAAGTTCCGGTGTCTGCTCAGCCATGTTTAGAGCAAGACCAGGGCCCAGGGCACCGCTGTGAGGTTGCTTTTGTATGAAGAACACAGGGCAGATGGGCAGGAGGGGACATGAGGGACACCAGGGAGGCAGATGGAGGCTCTTATCTGCCCTTTGCTCACCGCAGGCAGCTCTTTCAAAACCCTTTTGTGCAACTTTCCTGCCCGCCTGTGACTGTGCAGGGGCCTCTCTTTTCTCCTTTCCTGTTCAACCTGCCCTTCTGAAATGTTAAAAAAGAAAAAACTTTTTTCCCTTTCGATCTGAGGCTTTACATTCAGCATGTAAGGAGACAGACTTGGAAATGCAAGAGTTCCTCATGTCCATAGTAAGATTTAAAGATGTCTTTGAGGTTATGGGTCCAGTTTATAGCTGAGAATTTTATTTGAAAAGCCAGGCCATAATCTCCTGTGATTTTAAGTATGTTCCTGTGCTTACTCTCTCAGGCTGGACAAGATTTCTCTACAGTTTTCCATTATTTTTTCATGATTTACATCTATTTCCGTAATAAAGTTTGATAAGATCTTTGAATTTTTCTAAGGTCAGGTATACACTTTAGAAGTTGTGCAATTGATCAAAATTTCCCCAAGTAGCCACACTCACAGCAAACCCCAAATCCAGGAGGGGCCAGGCACCAGGATGATGCCAGGAGTAGCCGGGCCCCACACTCCTGAACGTGGGGCTGTGGGGGCAGTGGGGTGACAGGTATTGGAAGTGGAACGAGGAGGGGGTGAGACACTTGAAGGGGGAGACTTGGGGGAGACGGTGGAGGGAGACGCAGAAGCGAGACCCCAGAGCGGTTCTGCTGAGACTCCCACAGGCAGCACTGTCTGCACCCCTTGGAGGGGTGGGTGGTGGTTTGGGACTTGGGGTCTCTGCTTCTGCCCTTTATTTGCACATGGGAGGATGTGTCATTTTTGGAGTTTTAGGGAAACACGATTTTTGGGAATCACTGTCTCTAGTGACACCGATTCTCTAGAAATCTTTCACGTGAAGGGACTTCTTGCTTTGCCTTTGGTTGGGCAGAGGCATGGCCCTATTTAGAGCAGACCCTTAACAGTTGGGGTTCCTGGGTACCCTCAGTCCTGTGTTAATTGCTAATTGAGGTGTTTTCAGTATTAGGGAACCACTTCCAGGAACAGCCCCGTCTAGAGGAAATGGACAGTTTTGGCTCCAAACTTTGTTCTTCTTCACCTGAGCGCCTCAGCCTGGAGCTGAAGTCTCTAGAGCAGACCTAACCTGTCCCGCCCAGACCACCTGACAATTGTCTAATAAACTAATTAGCCATGACAGGTGGTCTGGCCCTGGAGGGTCTCCCCATGGCCAGACTGGTTGCTGATTACCCAAGGGCCTGCTGGTACCTGGTGCCCTTCCTGGCCTGATGTAGGAGGTCAGGGTTTCTGGGCCCTTCATGTGGTCCCCACTGTTAAACTGCAAATGAGGTCTCCATCGTAGTTAGACTGAGTTTGTAGCTAATACAAGGGCAATTTCCAACCAAATTCAGTGACCTGTTCCTGGAGGCCATATGTAGCTCAAATCAATGGTTTTTATTTGTACAAGGACAGTTACTGAATGGAAAAGTAACAATTGATTCCAGATGCAGTGAAGCCCCTGCAAATCATTTTCTATTCCACTCAGAGCCTGGACCACAGAGCACATCGCAAAGTCTGCCGATTTACAGGTTAGTCAGGAAACAGTATTCTGATGGGTAATGAATGAAAAGAAATAATTGAAAAATTTTTTCCTTGGTAGATCAGAGAAAGGGAATTTAAACAATTGACCACCACTTTGCACACATGAAATTGACCAAAAGAGGCTGGCTCCTGATTTACATATGAGGGGAAGTGTAGCTTCTAGTTGGCATATGTAAAATAGTTAAATGAAAAAGCAACACTCTGGAGCCCAGGAGGAAAAGTGCATGAAAACTGCAGACGATGCCAACAGAAAATAAAGAATTAAAAAAAGATATAATCTTACTGGGATGCAGTCTTTGTGGCGGCAGCAATGCATTGTGAAGACACCAGCAGACACACAGGAGTCTGGACAGGCTGAGGTCCTGTGGCCCCACCTAGGGCAGGGGCTCTGGGGCTCACCCTCCTCCTGGCCTTCCTGTGCTCACCTCCGTATTCCTGAAACCTGCCCTGAGCTTTCCGTGTCCATAATGGGCCATTTATGATGAGTTTTCAAAGACACTGATGACAATAAATGAAAGATTTATGTAAGACAGGTCTTTTAAATTGTGAATTATCAAGAAAAGGGTATGCGGGCTAAGCCAGTGAGATACTGTCTCGCTTTCGTGTGCTCCAGGGCTGCAGGTCTGGGCTGGTTCTGAGGCCCATTCCTAAGGGAGCTGAGGCTTCTATTTTCTCTTGCCTCAAGGAGTTTCCCTGAGCAGGAAAAGAAGCAGCCTGAAGTCCTAGGATTTGGGTGTGCATGATGTTGAGTCCTGGGTGCTCAGCTCTGGATGCCCCAGAACACCTGTGTGAAGCTCCCTATAGCTGAATCAGCTGAGCACCTGCTGCCCCCATGATGGACCCAGGGCCTCCGGGGCCCACAACTGGGTGGTTTCCCCAAGAGTTGCCGAGGCTGATGGGTGACAGTGAGCCAGGGTGTTGCCCTTTTCCCTGGTGCTGGGTGAACAGGGCTGAGCCAGTCCAGGACAGGTTTGAGCATGGGGAGGGGGGGGGCCCTCAGGTCAGGGAAGGCCCAGAGGGGCGGGTGGGACTAGGGTTCCGAGGGATATAAGGGAGCCTGAGGGCAGACAGCCCCACCCTCCCTGACCATAACACCATGGCCTTGCTCTGGCTTCTCCTCTGCTTCACCCTCATCAGGACCTCCCCTGGTGAGTATTAGGGGCTGAGGGACATGCCTGGACTGGGAGGTAACTGGGAATGAGAACTCTGACCTCCCATCTCACTCTGGAGCACTGAGGTTCAGCCAAGAGATGCTTAGAGCCTCCTCCCAGGCCGTTGGCCTCAGTGCAGACAGTGACCCTGACTTCGCAGGCCCTTCTGGGCTTTCTGAGCCCTCAAAGCGGTGCCAGGTATGGAGCAGAACCTTCTGGGTCTCAGAAGATAGCACCCAGGAATTAACTCAGTTTGGCCCATTGGGTCAGCAAGGGGGTAGTCCTGAGACACCCAGAGACAGGCCTCTCTGGATTTCATTTAGTGCTGGGAGCTCAATCAATAGTTGGTTAAAAACAAACAAACAAACAAAAAAACAGAATTAGCACCATGTCCTGTATCTGTGCTCGGGAGTTTGAAATGTTACCTTTGCCATTTTTGCTTTAGGGATTCTCTGACACCCACACTGGGCTCAGCAGCTCCCTGCTCCCCCCCCCTTGCCTGGGAAGGGGCCACACTCACTCCCTGTTTATAACCTAGAACCAGGGCTCAGTGGGGGAAGCTCCTCCCTGTTTTTCCTGCCCGTCCCTGTCACACCTGCTGGCCCCACTCCTGAGAGATTTCAGGCTCCTCCAGCACAGGGGACCCGGCCCCCCACTCCATTGCTATGAAGCCTCTGAGGGCGAGCCCCTCACAGCTCCTGCTGGTGAATTTTCTGTACGATAAGAAAATGTGAGGAGATGACATGTTTGGAGACACCAGCCTGAGGGAGTGGCCAGGCCATGTCCCTGTCCCCAGGGGCAGGAGCAGATGCTGCCTGGAACAGGGCCTGGGGGACCCTGGGGACAGCCTGGCTGGTTGGATGGGCTGGGCCTGCCCCGCTTTTTCCCTGTGGCCAAGTTCTCACACCCCTGGGAGCTGCTGAGGATCCTGTGTCCTGACCCAGCAAATGTGTCTGCACATGTCAAGGGCCCTGCGTGTCCTTGTTCTGGACAATCTGGTCCTCTGTTTTCACATTCCTTACTGTAGCTTTTATGGTTGCAAGTCAAAGGCTTATATCTAAATAATTAATGATGTCAGACATGAAGGGTTTCAGACTGTCTGATAGAGAGGCTAGCACTGGAAATGAGTTCATGTGACTGACCCGAATGGAGCCACCTGTCCCTCTGCATCCCTGGGAGGGTGACTGTGGCAGCAGGCAGGGGCGTGTGTCTTCCAGTCTGGATGCAGGGGTGCCAGGGGTGCCAGGAGGGGGAGTGTGGGTGTGGAGCTGTGCTGACTGGTGTCAACCAGGTTTCTGCAGACTGACTGGATCTCCACCTTGTCACCCTCCATCCTGTTACCTCCAGGTTCTGGAGCCCCTGCCAGTGAACCGGAGCTGAGCATTGTACCCAAGATCATCAATACGACAGACACGCTTCCTGGCTCCGCACCCTGGCTTGTGGCTGTGATGGTGAGGGGAGTCTGCCCCTGAGTGGGGTCATCCCTGTCCCTGAGGTGGTGGGGCTGCCTCTCCATGGGTGTGACTTGTTCCTGTCACTTCTACTGACCTTCTCTCTACAGACTGCAAATACGATCCCATTTTGTTGGGGTGCCCTCATCAACGAGAACTGGGTGATCACTGCCGCCCACTGCAATGTCACGTGAGGCCAGGAAGGGTCCTAGGGACAAGGGGGGTGGTCTCCTCCTTAATTTTACCTACCTGTTTCCTCCAGGACATCTGACTTGGTTGGGGTTGGGCTGTATGACCCACGCTCAGGTAAAGACCTCCAGATCCTGCAGATTGCTCAGGTATGCCAGACCCTGCAGGACCTCCTCAGCTGTGTTGAGGCTTTGGGGGATGGGATCAGAGGGGGAGACCCTTCAACTGCAGAGAAAGAAGCTGGCAAATTGGTCTCACTTCTTTACTTGATCCACTGGTATTTATCCCCTGAAGGGTCACCACGATTTCATTTCTCTCATGTTCTCCTGCTGGTTCTCATTTAGGTTTTTATATACCCCCATGTGTACTGGAGTGTTGTTGACAATGACATCGCTCTGCTGAAGCTGGAAAGCGCTGCCCGCTTCTCCAGGACAGTGTACCCAGCATTGCTGCCCACGGCTTCTGACCGCTTCCGTCCGGGGCGTCTGTGCGTCACCATGGGCTGGGGGCTCGCCCACCCTAATGGTGAGCGACTGGACTCGGCACTCAGGACATGAGTCTATGTCAGCAACTAGAAATGTGGGAAGGACCCGCAGGGCTCAGCTTTGCTTTTGTCCAAATGTGAGCGGTGCCATCAATGTGGCAGCTCCTTGACTGCACCCTCTTGATGAAAACCTAGCAAACGTGCCTGGACACGGGGTCCACGATTCCTTGACTGTGAGTTTCTGCAGATACAGCTTTGCGCCACGCCGGGTGCCCTCCATGCCTAAGGTTTTTACTTCCAGCTTCCTGTTAAATTTTCCAGGGGGTCAGGTCCAGGGCACATTGAGCCTCTGAGTCTCCAGGCTGGTGTCCCCTCCCGGGGCTGGCCCTGCCTGATGGTCTCCACCAGTGTCCTGAGTCCTCATGCCCGGGCCAGGGCTACCAGGCTGGTCCTTCCCCAGAACAGCAATCCCAATAAGAAGCTGCAGGGGAGGGAACCCTCCATCACCACACGAGAGGGGTCTCCAGTCAGGGGGATGTCAGCCCCTTCCTTGAGAAGGAAGGAACTGTCTGTGTCCCCCCACCTGGGCTGGCAGGACTCAGGCCTCACCAGGCTTATTTCATCAACTGTGCTGGAACTTGGAGTAAAATCACAAGGACTGTGGCCCTTTGAGGCTTCCAGATCTCATGGTGTGGAGTCTCTTGTTCTATACCCTCATGCTTGTATATGAAGGTGGGGACCTGGGAAGGATGTATCTTATCTTGGCCTGTGCCCACAGCTTGGGCTCATAGAAATGAGGTCCTGATTGTCCTTGACCCTTCTCTCTGCACAGCCAGCGATCACCCCAGGGAGCTGCAGAAGACTAAGGTGCCCCTCCTGAACAACACCGAGTGTAGGAGGCACTGGGACTGGATAATCACTGATGCCAAGATGTGTGCCGGGGCCAATAGTTTCTCTTGCTGGGAAGTATGTGTTGCTTTAACCCAGCTCCTCACTGCTGTCCCCAGTCAGGTGGCAGGAACACTCCTTGGCCCAGATCCAACTACCCTGGGGCTTGGTACCTGCCCTGGCAGCCAGGACCAGCACTCACAGAGGCCAGCAGAGGACTTGCTCCTCCAGGCATGCGGGTGCTCCGTGTGGAGTTACTCTCACAGCCTCATCCTGGGCTACAGCTCTCCAGCTGATCTCTAACCCACAGTCAGGCTCCCCTGTCCACACCCCAGCAGGAGGCAGAGCTGGGCTTGCATTTGATGTGGCCCTTCATAGCAGGAACACAAAGCTTAATGGCTCAATGCCTGAGTCAGATCGAGTACCCAGATTTCTCTCACACATGTCCGTACTGCAACGGGTTTTTTCCCTCCCACAGGTCGACTCTGGAGCCCCCTTAATCTGTAGGAAGAAAAAAGTCTTGTACTTGGTGGGGGTCATGTCATTTATGAGTGAAACCTGCCCCACCCTTAAACCTCTGGTGTTCACTCGAATCACTAAGATCATATCGTGGATTCAGGAGACCATGGCCAACAACTGAGCCCTGATCCTCCCTGTCCTTTGCTCTTTATCCCCAATAAAAGCCTCTGCACAGGAGCCCTGACTGCTTGTGTGTCTGTGACCTGGGGGAGGTGGCTGCAGTGTCCCTGTCACCCACCGGGGGGCGGCGTGACCCCCCCCTTTCCAGGCTGCAGAGCCCCAGCAGCCCCTGTTTCTCAGGGAGATGAGGCCTTTGGGTCTGGGCCTCCCTGCTCAGGAGGCCCCTGGGGTAGAGACCAGGACCATGTGCTGCAGCCTCATTTCTCAGCCTGGTTTCTCCTTGCTGGGCAAGTGGACTTTCTCTACCTCGAGCCCCCTGCACACCCCACCCCAGATCATCATGCAGTCTCCACTCTTCCTGCTTCTGCCCAGGTCCTGCAAACTCATGAACTGAGTAACTGGGAAGCTCCTTACAGGGCAACATGCAGACACCCCGCTCTTTCATCTCTTTGTATCCATTATTTTGCATCGATTTGGCAGCTGAATCTGAGACTTGGTCAGACTCAGGTCAGTCCCACAGCCAGGCTGCAGGGGGCTGGGCTCGTGCATGGAGGGGTCAGGGCTGCTTCCTGTGACATCACACTCTGATGCCTGCGGGCTGGACCGTCATCCTTTTTGGGCTTGTAAATTTGATAACTCACTCAATGTCTCCTTTCCTTTGTTACCAGTAACTTGTAACGATTATTTTTCTTTTGTTGCTTGTGCTTTTATGTCATGGTGAACTCTGACCAGAATGGCTTTCAGTGTGGAGATCACATGGGTTGTGCTGACATCGTCACCATGTTACATCCCTGCCCGTGAGCGTGGAAGTTTTCCTTTCTTTAGTCCTTCTTTACGCTTGTGTTTTTTTTTTTTTTTTTTTTAAACAATCATTTGCACTGATGTAACAGTAGCTACACTCTAAGTTTTCAGGGTATAGGGTCAGTCCTGCTGAGATGATGTCACCACATCAGTGCACCCTCAGAGCCCTGGTGACCGTCCATCACCATCCGTTTGTGCCTGACCCCAGGCCCTTCACTCTTCTTCTGGGCCCCGGAGCCTCAGTTCTGCCGTCAGCTTTCAGGGGTTTGCCGTGGTTGGTCTGAAATCTCTGTGTCTAGTGGCCTCAGTACAATGTGTGGTTTGTGGGGGAGCCCAGAGGGCCCAGGATTCCCATGGTCTGGGCTGTGTGGGCAGCATCCGCAGTCCTGGGAGCCGAGTCCTGCAGCACAGGGGAGAGGCCAGTGGCGCCTGGGCCTGAGCTCAGGAGTGAGGAGGAGCCAGACCCGCAGCCCCTCAGTGCCCTCCCCCAGCACCTCTTCAGGCCAGGTACCCCACCCAGAGTCCCAAGGGAGGGTGGGAGGGGGCCTGGTGGGTCTCCCTGTCCTCCTGGGCTCCTGCCCACACAGAGTTTCTGCACCTGTCCTGTTGCCCAGGTCACCTGTCTGTCCTGGGAGGGCAGGGCGGCCTCTGCTGCCCCAAAGCACAGGAGCTGGGGAGACCCAGGTCCAATTCCACAGCCCGTTAGGAACCAATTAAGGAGCAGTGAAGATGAGGCTCAGCTCTGTTTTCACAAACCTTCCAGGTGATTCCTGTGAGTGATCACATTGAAAGTCCCTGAGCTGGAGTCAGAACTCCTTGCCTGCTTGAGGGTGAGGAGGCCAGGCCTCCCCCAGGGTGTAGGGACCCTTGAAGGCCACTAAAGGGAGATGTGTCCTCTCAACCGTGGCCATCAGGGGGCAGTGTTATCCCTGGACAGCTACCCAGGACCAAGGAGCCAGCCCAGGAGCCTCTGAGCCAGCTCTGGAAAGAGCTGTCAGGTAGGACAAGGGGCCCTGCCATGGAACATGCTGGAATGCACGGCAGTGCTAGTTTAGGATTTAGCTCATCACTGGGAATTTACCTATTTGCTGCCAGTCCTACATTCCAGCCCCTGTGCAAACACATTTGAGGTATGTTTTACGCAAATATTGCGTAGTTTTACTTCATGACTTTCTGCTCCTATCTGTAATAGCTCATCTTTCCTTGCTTGTCTCTCTTGTTGTCTTTCTTGCTTTTTAAGGTAGAATTTAGGGCACTGATTTTAACCTTTTTCGTGGAAGCGTTGGTGTCTGTAAGTTTCCTTTTCAAATAAATGTCCTCCCATGCATTTTGACGAGGGCGTTTTCCTGTGCTTCGCTTCAGCCTGATTTCTCATTTCCTCTTTATCCGTCATTTATTTAGAGTGTGTTTAACTGATGAATATTTCATGTTTGCCGTTTTCTTGTGTGTCTTTTGGGGTTTTCTCTGGACCTCCCAGGAACCCCCCAGAGACCCTGTTAGGGTAAGTGAATGGTCAGGTTTTTCCACCAATCAACCCTGTGGCTGCCCCCTGGGCCCTGAATGCGGAGGCGCTTGGGTTCGGGGCCACGGGCGCGTGTGCCTGAAGGTGGCACCTGGAGTGGGGTGTGGGCACGTGCAAGTGGGCGCACCTAAGCTGGAGGTCAGGGCTATAAGGGCACGTTCCTCAGCCGTGATGGGCTCCAACAGATGAGCGATGGCCATAGTGAAAGAGGCTACAGGAGAGGCCAGAGAAAGCCCAGAGGAAAGAGCCTGTAATATTCTCAGGGGGCCCAAGGGGCGTCTCCCTGCTGGCTCGTTTCCCCTGCGCTCTGTTAATAAGCCTGTGGGGGATGATGCCAAGGGCTTCACCGTTCTCTTTGAAGCTGCCTGAAGCAATGGTGACCCTACCTGACCTGGGATGGCAGCAGGACACACCCCCTCCAGTCCTGGAGGTTCTTGTGAGGGTTGTTTAAGTCTCCCTCTGCACAAGGTTACTTGTCAGGAATCTAGAAGCACAGCAAGTTTATTCCTCACCTGTCCTGAGGGGGCATGGCAGGCCTGGGGCCACACAGTGAGGGGTATGTTTTGGGGGAGAGAGCGAGGTGATCTACAGTTTGCTTTTTTTTCTGGTGAAAGTCATGGCCCAATTGGTGGGACTCACTTTTTCAGGAATTTAAAACATAAGGTTGATCCAGCTGTAGGGAGGCAACATAATTGCAGAGACTGTGTTTTCCTGTCTCTGAGATCCAGACTATGAAGGTAACGGGTGATGGAGGCCGGGATCGCCAAGTCCTGGCTCTGGGGGTGATGATTCTCCATCTGTTTCTGTGAAGCACATGCCTGGACAATCAGCTGAAATCAGGCCCTTGGGTGAGAATTAATATACCCAATGTCAGGGCTTACCCTGTTCCACCCGTGACACAGGGACCTGTCATGGTGGGGCCCCCACAGCCTGGGGAGCAGTTGGGTCCATCAGGGGCAGATCCTGACCAGCAGCGCCCATCTAGCAGGGTGAGAGCAGCCCATCCCATAATAATACACATCAGCTGCCTCAACCCAGGCTGTAAGTGTTGCCCCAACTTGAAGTCTCCTTTCTTGGAAACAGTGAGTGATTGAGGACCACCGAGTGTGTTCAATGATGTGGGTCGTAAGTCGGAAATTTTCCCTAAATATTGAGCACTTCAGTCTGCGTTGTGTGGGTACGTGTCCTGGGTGTGCTCTCTTGAGGAGGAGGCCTGGGCATCCAGCAGTGAACTCCTGGGGGGGCTGTGAGGTGGAGGTCATCTGACATGGTCTCCAGAGACGAGGTGGCTCTTTTGGGGTGATGGCCTCTAGCAAGGAGGACTCTAAAAAGAGGGTCCTCTGTGTCACTTCAGTTGGCATGGTAACAGAGAGAGTCCCTGTGACCTTCCCCACCCAAGGGAGTGTGATGCTGAGCAGGGAGGAGAATAAGAAGCTGGACAGGAGACTGGAGTGGGAAGGTAGAAGGATGAGAGCCAGGGGGAGACCTGGAGGAGGCACATACAGGAGAGACATGTGAATAAGCTGCACTTGCTTTTTGGTCTTGGACTGGTTGAAAATGTTGTGGGTGAGAACCTGCTGGCAGGTTAACAATGGCAGTTTTTATCTGGTTTTGATTTTGTTCTTTTCCTTCCAGACTTGCCTGGCCTCTTCTGCACCTTCCCTATGGGTCCCCACCAGGAGGTGCCTTAGATCGCAAAGGCCTTTGGGTCTCAGCCGCCCTGCTTTGGCCAACCATGCTTTGTTGGACATTTACCCACGGGGGATGGGTAACTTCCGGTGCTTGATTTGGACTCTATATTCTTTATGTTTTTCTTATCTTCTCTTGATTGCACACAAATTGTATTAAGCTCCTTTCCATGAAAGGTCTATGTGCTAGAGTATGTTTTATCTTGATGCAGTGGATGGCAGAACCTATTTAGAGTGGGCAGGCTGGGGATTCTGGAGTGCCCCTCTTCCTGCCCTGGACAGGGCCCTGGTCACTGGGAGGTGGGCGAGCTGGAAACACCTTGGGGCAGGTCTAGGTCAGGCTGCTTCTCTGGCACCTGCTGCTCATGGAACAGATGCTGAGAGTCTCCGAGTCATCAGGGCTAAGCTGGCACCTCAGGCCCTGTTTCAACTTCAGAGCATCTGGGATTCTGAGCACCTGTACAACCCAGCCTCGGGGCATGTTAGGAATGCATTTCTGCGTCCTGACCCTGAGTCCTGAGGGCAGCAACATACATGGGAGCACAGTGCCTGGAATGAAGGTGCTGGGAGGAGGCTCTTCCTCCCCTGCCCTGCAGGTGCACAGGCTGGAAATAAACTGACCAAGAGAGGTGAACGCGGGAAAAGACAAGCTAATCTGTGCACAGGGGCCTGGTCTGGAACCCACTTCTGGCCCCTGCACTGAAGGTGCAGGTCTCTAGAAAGAGACACTCAGGAGGGAAGAGCCAAATTGGAAACTTGCAATTTTCTGGAACAGGGTGGTGCAGGGCTCGTGTGCACATGCCCGGGGCGGCCCTTGCAGGCCTGCCCGGTGAGGAGGCTGAAGACTGTTCATCCCAGACCCTGGGACCTCCTGCTCTGAGGAAGGTGAAATGAGGCAAAACACTGTCTACCCAATTCTGTCTCTTACTGACCCTCCCCTGGGCTCTCCCCCTGCTCCCTGCTGGCAGCTCCCTGCTCCCTCCCTGTGAC